ACGAAGCTATAAGAGTGCTTTCATTACTTCAGGTGCGCCTGCGGTAGATAGGTATGTCTGCGAAGTGAATCATGAAGATGTCTCGGACCGAAAAATATCATTTTCTTCTGAATTCCAAGTAAAGATATACTGAATATTGCCACCGCTTATAGTGATAAATTCTACGGTCGAAATGGGCCGTTACAATAAGAACGGACCTATTGTATTTGTCAAATACTGTCTGTAGGTTAATCCGTATATTCATTTTACTTGATTTTTTGGAATTTTCTCTCCTCGTTTCTATGAAATAAGAATATTCGTATTATTCCAATATATTTGTAGTTTGGATATGTTCACTGAAGATGAACAACATATGGCAGAGTGGAATAATATCAAAATCATAGGAAAGGAAAATAACGTCAAAACGAGAAAAATCAAGGAATCCGCTTGCATTCTTCTGAACGGAGACTAAAGCATTGCTTCCTGTTCAGTTGATATAGATAGAACATGATATTCACTACTGAAAACTGAACATGAAAATGGTAGATTCAAGATCAACTAATGAAAACATCCTGTAACTCATTTGTAGACAAAAATCACTCATTCATATGCCAACATCAGTATGACACTGAAAACTGTCAAACTATAAGCAGCACAACTTCCAAAGAGAAATATATTGCATTTTCATGTTGAGAACGGGAGCAGATTCGGTCCCGAAACGTCCAAAGACAAGTAAAGATTCGAAATTTTTTCAATATATCTATATCAATTCTTTCCTTCAAACATTTTTCTAAGAAACTTTTAACTGACAAGCTACTGGATTTTTCTTTTAGGCACCCTGATAGAAAAATGTGTTAACCGCAGTGACATTTTGGGGCAAATCATCTGATTTGTCCCACTATGAATATATTGAAATAATACGAATATTTTCATTTCATAGAAACGAGGAGAGAAAATCCCAAAAAAATCAAGTAAAATGACTATTGTATTTGGTCTGTATTTTGGAAGGAACTATTTTATTACATTATGAAAAATAAATTGGGTTGGTATCCAAATATGACCACCATTAATCTAGCAAAACCACTTAAGATTTTGAATTTTTTTCTTCGACCATAATGTGGGGCAGATTAATTACCCTATTGCTGATTGTATTACTTTTCGCTTCATGCAAAAAAAATGGGTTCTGCTAGCTTAACGTTGAGCCAGCAGAACCACTTTGTGAATAAATGTTCTATCACAAAACTGATGATACTATAATTAAATGCTACTTTGAGGCTCAAATTCTAGCCTCTTGCCGTTTAGCTATCAGAACCGGATTTCAAGTAGAACGAATATAAGAATATTGAGTACACCACAATTTAAGGCTAATTTTATGCTCTTCATTGAAATTATCATCGATTTTTTCAGATCATTTTCTCCAAAAATGTTTCCAAATCCAACATGAACATGGAAAATTAATAGCAAATCTAGAAAGTTCTATCACGAAATGAATTATACCATGATTCGAGGCTAATTGAAAGCTCTGAGTATAACATCCTTGAATTATGATATGATTAGTTTCCTGATCAAACTTCTTCCAGTCTGCTATTCGTTTGTCTTCGGGTTTGTCATATTTATGTTGGATATGGAAGAATTTTTTCAAAACATGATAATCAAAAAAATTGATGGAAAGCTCAACAAAGACCATTAAAATAGCCTTAAGTATTGGTGTACTCAATATTATTTATTTTCTTTCTATTCGAGATTTGGTTCTGCTAGCTAAATGTTTAGGCTAGCAAAATCCATGATTGAAAAAAATGTGAGAAGAAATCGGCAACAGGCTAGGACTAGGAAAAAAGAGCTTTCAATTAGCCTCGAATTATGGTATAATTCTTCACCTGATCCAACTGTTTTCGAATTGCTATTGCATTGTCATGTTCATGTCAGATTTGGTAATTTTGATGCCCGACTTGCATGGGGAGTTTGCATTTTGGGCACCAAGGCAATAAATGGACTAATTCAACATGCATTTTGGGCACCGACCCAAAATGTCCTCATTACAAAAATTGCATTTTGGAAACCGAGCCTTATTATTTATTCATTATTTTTATAATTTTGGGTAGGTTAATAGGTGAATAATACAAAACTATTAATAAGCATACGAAAATATGTTTATTATTAATCTATGGTAAAAGTCCATGGTATCTCAAAGTGGAGTGAATAGATTCATGAACAAGACTCTGTGTGTCTTGTTTATGAGTGTTTATTATTGTATTATGATTACATAAATTGTACAAAATATCTCAATCTGAATATTTTATTTATTGACGTAACAATGGGATCACAAACATTCAATTAATTGTGGCCTATTGATTTCCTTATTTTGGTATTTAATAATCATTGATTCAATAAATTTTTGTCTTTTTTCACCTTTCCTGTCATAGATTTGTAAAGGTTTTTGAACACTTTGAATTTTGATATATGTGGCGATTTGAAACTCTTTCAGTTTTTCAACAAAAACGAATAGGTAAGGATGTTCAGCATATATGGAGTTGTCAAAATTACTGTGGGAAGAATCACAGGTATTTGATGTACGAGTGATGGTAGATGAATGTTATGTCCAGATAAACGGTGGGAATAGTGACTCTTCAGAAATATAGGTATCTACTAAATAGTCGGCATATTCCACAACTCGGGGGTCTTGGGGCATATTTTCAGACAATTCAAGAGCAAAATACTCACCTACTTCGGTCGGATCGAGATACATAAGTGCAAAAGTCAATGTTAACCATTTGCCCATTTCACTTGCCTCATGCTTGTATTCCGGTACCAAACCACAAGTTTGAATTTGTCGGTACCATGCCTGAGACAAGTGAAACCTACAACCAACAATTTTAGCATTAGGCCAACCCAATAAACACACACACACGTGTTATATACGTTAATATATAGTATGGACGTTGATTAAACGTTACTCGTTGAATTTCGCAACGTTACTTTCGTGACGCAAATTCAACCAAACGTTGATTCAATTTATAATAAACGATAATGATTCAACTCGTCTATATAGCCACCATTATGCAACGTGTCATTATCGTGACTCCTCAACGTATATTCGATGAGGTTCATAGAACATCACAATAACGTCGAGTATGATATTGTTCAGCAACCTAAATCTTTGAGCACCCTCGTTTTCACGTTTCAATTACGTACTCTTCTTCACGTTCATTCAACGTTTCAATATCACGTATAAAGTCTGTTGAATCAATTATTCAATAACAACTATATTTTTTTGTTCCAAATACTACTCTAAATACTGTCTGTAGGTTAATCGAGGAGGTGGTACATTCATTATAATAAATACTACTCTGTTTTACGTTCATTAAACGTTTTGAGATTACGTGTATGACCAGTTGAATAATTTTTCAATCGCTACTATATCTTTGAGCAACCTTTTTTCTTCGTTTCAATCACTACTTCCTTCACGTTTATTAAACGTTATGAAATCACGTGAATGATCCGTTCAATAAATTCTTCAATAACAAGTTTATCTTTGAGCAACTTATAATGTTCCAGTTTTGAATTAATAGATACTTTTTTACGTTCATCAAACATTTCGAAATTACTTGTATGATACGTTTAATGAATTATTCAATAGCAACTATATCTTTGAGAAACCTATATTCAACGTTTCATCCACTTTTTTCTTCACATTCATTGAACGTTATGAAATTACGTGTACGATTTGTTGAATGAATTATTGAATAACAACTATATCTTCGAGCAACCTTGATACCACGTTTCAATTACAACTTTTTAACGTTCATTGAACGTTCTGAAAACACGTGTTCGATCCGTTGGATGAATTATTCGAAAGTATCCGTATTGATTTGCATGCGCCCTCGAATTATGGTATAATTCTTTTCCTGAACCAACTGTTTTTGATTTGCTAGTGAGTTGAATTTATTTTGCAGAAAATGATTAACGAAACGGGCGCATGCAAATTGGGCACCAAACAGGTAGGTACCCTTTGCGGTCAGTTTCGAGGGATTATAAAAACTGCATTTCGGGCACCGAAGAATTAATTACGATTCGAGTACGTATTAATGGATGTTCTCATGTAACCTATATGAAGCCCCACTGTGCAAAAACTCGTACTACTTACGTTATTAAATAGTAACCAAGGTACATGGTTACGTTATGATTCTTGTCCCATTAAGGTCTCAAAGACCGTTTTAGAGTCGTTATATGTCCACCAACATAACAAAATCTTAGTGACGTTAAATATGTTTCCAATCTGATATGTTAACGGGGACGACTTTGTTACAGCAAAAGTACTTTCCATTACGGTAACTACTATGAAACCGTAATAATTCATGTAACATCACAAGAAACTACTTTCTTACAGCAAAAGTACTTCCCTTGGGAGTTACTAAAATGAAACCATAACGTATTCAGTCGTTTCTTTTCACGAGTTTTGAGATGTGAAAAGTACATTGTAATATACAGGGTGTATCAAATGTTGCACTAAACTACAAGGTTCGTTTTTTTTTGGGTCAAAATATGAAAAAAAAATCATATAAACATAATATATGCCAGGAAACGATTTGTTTCTGAGATACAATGTGTTAAAATTTCTCAATATTTTTATCAACTTCTAAAATAGTTTCCAACAGATTTTGACTAAGTTATCATAGTTTCTTGTGAAAAAAAATAGCATTCAGTAGATTTTTTTCAAATGTTTGTAATTTTTTTGGTTGAAGCAACTGAAAATACAACTTTTTTGGCTTGATTTTGTTCTTGATCAAAGAAAGTATCTTAAACATCATGTATCTTGGAAACGAATCGTTTTCGGACGTACATATGTTCATAGGAACTCTTTTCATATCTTGTCCCAAAAAATCTAGCCTTGAACATTCATGCAACATTTAATTAAACACCCTGTAAATAAAGTTGTATATTTCCAAATTTTCAAATATTGAAAATGGTTTTGATTGAATAATCTTAAGTAAAATTCAGATTGCAAACTGATAAATATATATTGTATACCAATTAACTTTTTGGTTAAGATAACATGAATACTTATAAAATGAACAAAACAAAAACAGAAAATCATTTCTCAAAATGAATTAAAAACGAAAAAAAGGAACTTCAAAAATTGTATGCCAAGCAAGATCTGAGCTGAGAGTAGGAGACCAAGCTCATTCAGTTTTTTTGCTCTCTCAGCAAACGCTGTTTTGAATGACGCAGCCACTCCATCACAATCTTATCGAACAAGCAGTCAGAACAAGAAAAAACTTTACAGACTGCACCTAAAACAAATAGGAATTGAAGTTCACAATAATAATGCCAAAAGCATTAATTACTACCTCGCATCAGTTTCATAATTGTAGTATCTTTGATTCGAAAATTGTTTTTTTGCCCTGTCCATGAGCAAAATGTTCCTAAGGAATTCGTGAGAGTTTGTGACAATATACGCCTAAGAAAATCTGCTTCATTTTTTCCTCCACATTGTAAGTATTTTTGTACCTGAAAAAATAAAGTGAGTGAAATTTAAAGAATGTTTGAAACTTTTCTGTAACTGAATCTAGTGATTGATCAGACTATCAAATAATCTACCAATTTCAATAGCACAAAATGAATTTGCATCAGAACTAGTTATATTCAGTATTTTCCTCTGTGTATATACCAATGAATTATTAAATGATACTAACCAACTGCTTACATGCTTCCTCATTTGACTGTAAAAATTCGTCAAATTCTATTAGTTGGGCTAGTTCTTTCAATGGTAGGTAGTCTTTTATTAGATCTTCACCAACTTCTTGATATTTTTTTTGTCTGTCACTTTCCAGAGTGTTAAGTCTCAAGGTGATCATATTTAGTGTCGCTTGAAGTTCTACTAATTTATTCATGATGTCTGAATTTGAAACATCATCGACAGTTGCAATGGTTACCACATTGGACAAGTCTGTAAAACATGAAACATTGAAGTTGTATTTGGTAGAAAACTAAAAAAAATCGGTAGGTAGGTAGTTAGGTAGGTAGGTAGGTAGGTAGGTAGGTAAGTAGGTAGGTAGGTAGGTAGGTAGGTAGGTAGGTAGGTAGGTAGGTAGGTAGGTAGGTAGGTAGGTAGGTAGGTAGGTAGGTAGGTAGGTAGGTACTAGGTAGGTAGGTAGGTAGGTAGGTAGGTAGGTAGGTAGGTAGGTAGGTAGGTAGGAAGGTAGGTAGGTAGGTAGGTAGGTAGGTAGGTAGGTAGGTAGGTAGGTAGGTAGGTAGGTAGGTAGGTAGGTAGGTAGGTAGGTAGGTAGGTAGGTAGGTAGGTAGGTAGGTAGGTAGGTAGGTAGGTAGGTAGGTAGGTAGGTAGGTAGGTAGGTAGGTAGGTAGGTAGGTAGGTAGGTAGGTAGGTAGGTAGGTAGATAGGTAGGTAGGTAGGTAGGTAGGTAGGTAGGTAGGTAGGTAGGTAGGTAGGTAGGTGAATGTAATTTTGAAAATAAAACAGGCTGTCATATAACGCCACAAGCTGTAACTCTTTTTCAAATCAAATGAAATATTCTTTTTAGGGTATTTTTTTCATAAAAAATTTCGTTCTTTTGTTGGTAAGGATAATTTTTTATACATTTCATCCAAGAGAAGTATAAGTAGAGGTAACTCACAAATTAACTCGAAAAACATCATTGAATTCAGTTGAGACCTGGATTCAGAAGGGACCTGAATTCAACAAATCAAAGAATATTATCATTTCTTTCAATAAAAAAAAATATTTGTTCTATACATCATTCAGTCTATGTTAACAAATATTTTGTTTTTGGAAATCAGATGAAAATGGTACTGTTAATGTTTCAAGTTCATTGATGAGGACTGAATAAAGATCCATGAATTGAAATTATTCAATAAAATATTTAATTATCAAGTTATATATATGATTGTCTACCTTGGGAATTCTTCAAATTAATAGCCAAACTGCTATCATCACCAGTATTAGGTGGACTTCTAGAATGCATAGATGTATCTGAAAAAAAATAAATAAAAATAAGTTGGAGGTATTTCAAATAAAATAGGTATATTTTTCAGAACCTTGAGTAAAGGATGAACTTCCACTAGTTGAGTCTTCTTCAAAAATAGTGCCGCATTTTGGTACTGTTGATAAAAATATACATGAATTAGAAATTAGGTATTAAAATAATGAGATGATGATCAGAAAGTAATCTTTTGGGCAGTTTATATTTTATATAGTCACAATAATAGAGATGGAGAAATCAATACCTTCTGCTAGTGATGGTGGTGGAGAATGAATAGTTTTCAATTTTATTTTCCTCTTTCCTGGCCCTCTCTCCAATGCATCCTCTGAATCAGATGATGCAACTGCTATTCTTTCAGCAGCAAGTGCTTGTTCATATGAAGCTGTAAAATAACACACACAAACATGTGATGTGTGGAGAATGCAATGATTTGAATGCTGGTATCTTTATGTTCTTTTCTTCAAGAATGAATATAGAGCAGGTAGAAAAAATACTCACAAAATTTTCCAATTATTTTGGATACTTTAAATAAAGGCCAGTTTTCATCAGCCGGAGACATTTTGATAATGAGTGTCCTCAGATTTTTATTAGATTTTGGCCAAAATGAATATATTTCTTCTGGGCCACTATCAATCAACCAGTTGATTGGAACAACTGAGATGTCGTTGGTATCATATTGAACTACTGCATACTGAAAATATCGAGGAAAATGTAGAACATAATTGATGAATTAGTATTAAATTTCTTTAAGCAATTAAGTTTTGTCTGAAATTAATATTTCGAATTAGTAGATTAACTACCTAGGGATAAGTGACTACTATTTTTAATCATTTACAGTAGAACTGAGATATTACTATAATACTGAATTTCTAACTAGGACAAATATTAATGTTTTCATGACTTCAAAGGAGACTAAGTGAATATAAATTATCAAGAATTATTACAAAATATTAGTTATACTTACTCATCACAAATTAATCAACTGTAATGTTGGTGTGAGTCCAGAAGGTAAGAAAACAAGGGATAAGGGATAAGGATATAGCAGCAGGAAATATTGACCTGTTTTTGTCCAAAATCAATACAAAAATAAGAATAAAGGTACTAAAATACTAATAAAAATTAAAGGTTACATTAGATAATCAGATTATGCTAATTTCTTACAATGAAAATTGTATAATAAGTTGATTATAATGGTCAGCTGTTTGATGCATTGATGTTCATCATACAGGGTGTGTAAAAAATTCTGAATTGAGAAAACCAAATCACAAATCTGTGATTAGAGGTCTGTGAAAGCAAATTTCCATCATTCAAGTTTGATCCCCTTGTTTGGGTATGAAAGTTTTGAAAAGGAATATTCTCAGATATACATATAATGAACATGGGAAAAAAACTTGATACCTATAGAGATATACATAGAGAATTCATACTCTTTCTCTGTAATTCAATGTTCGCCGTGACATATAGCCAGGAAAGTAGTATAGTCTTTTGTTGAATATACAGAAAAAGAATTCATATCTTTATCAGACAGAATGTGAATTCTCAATTTAATTCCTCGAAATTATGTAGATATTATATACCCTTTATTTTTCATGTTCATAATATATTTGAAAATATTCCTCTTCGAAAGTTAATAATGAATTTCAACACATTCAAATGAAATGAATCAAAGAAACTAGAATGTTATCAACCTTTAGTGCTTTCTGTAAAACGTGGTTCAATGGTGAAATGTCTTCATTAGGTGTCAACGTTTCAACAATACCACAATTAAAATTGAGAGATGGACAAGGTAATTCAAAATAACTCAGCATTTCTGAAAACTTTTGATAGTGAATGTATGGTTCACCATCATTATAAAAAAAATTCAAAATTTTAACTGCACAACCAGTTTTCAAAATACAATAACAGTTTGGTTCTTTTACAGATAGTTGTGAATGTTGATAAATAACCTTACTGTAAACTTTGAAATATTTTTCTTGAATGTTTTTCCATCCAATTTCGTTCAATTATATAGAATTTGATCTAATATTATCTGGAACCTGTTTGATGCAGTATGTTTCATATTCATAATATCTATTAATGAATTGTTGCAATGGGTGGTTACTTGTTTTCAAGGTTTTTTTTTATTTCTGACATAAAACTTTCAAATTTAAAACAGCTGAATTGATCTAAAGGGCCAAATTTCCTTGCATCGTTGATTAAATGTAATAAATTATGAATATTGTGAGTCACTTGCTCTTGTCCATATATATCAGGAAATTTCCTCACAAAATATACTAACATTTTTTCAGCATAGTCTAATTGTTCGGGACTTCTGTCATTAGAAATCAATATTCTGATAGCAACATGAAAAGAGAGAAAATGTGATAACATTGGTTCTTTCAGAAATGGCTTCATTAATATGGGTCCATAGTACAACAAAAACTGTCGATATTCAGTTGCTTTCCACCGATCTAACTCTGATAAAGGTCTAGGAAGCCTAGCAAATTCTTTAATAGTATACTTCCGATACTTTTCTAAATTTTGATTGATTCTATCAATTTCCTCTTTCAAAATTCTTATACCCATTTTTCCTCGAATCCAAAAAGTTAATAATCTCTTCATGACACCCAGGCAAACCAAGTGCATGTAGTCTAATGGTACTTGACTGACCAAACCAATACTTGTTTCCATTAATATTGTGCTTCCTTTATGAAAATTTTCATCAACCATATTTTTGAAGCTATCATCTGTTCTGAGAGGTGATCTCAAGTCTAAATAAGACATTCTATTATTTATATACTCTCCTTCTATAATACACTTAGTACAACCAAAGTAAGCATTATGACCCTTCACATTTAAAATAAAGGCCTTAGCAGGAGCATCACACATTATTTTTGATATCTCAACCTGGTATTGTTTATCATGTATGATAATCTCATTATCCTCTAATGTTTTGATTTCATCAATCATAGGTCTCAAGAAATTATTACAATCATCTGGTTTTGAATTACCATGATAAATTCGTACAGGAAAAGGCCTACTATTGGGTGTATTATCTAATGATGCCAGTATAGGCCAAAACTGGCTACAACTACTTTTTGTCAATGGTAAACCATCAATGTTGAGAGACACTGATAGTTTTTTATCCACAATTTCCTCACTTGTTTGATGTAAAATATTTTTCAGACCATTTTTCAAATCAAAATGATAATAAGAGCCTGGAGGCATATCGATTTTTTCACCTCTATTTTCCACATTGGTTTTCAGAAAAGTTCGACAATCTTTGGGTAAAGACTGAATATTCAGATCATTCCTCATAAAAAAAAGTAGTTGATTACAAGCATTATGACTGATATGGTTCACTATTATCCAAGACCTCAAATTATTTAAAAACTTTTCTTCTTTGGTTTCACCAATGATTTCAGAAATATTCATATGATTTACATCATCACATTCAACATCATGAAACATCGGAGGAAAAGGTGCATATTTATACTGATCATTTGTAATATGACTTGTACTGGGCAGAGCAGATGCTGCTACAATTTTTGGATTTTTGTTTTGAAGGATATCAGGTATAGGATGAGCAAAGGAAGTAGATGAAGTTGTGTTTTCCCTTTGAGACTGAATATTTTGTTTCATAATTCTTTCAAGTTGTTTTTTTGAATATTGTCCATATGGTTTGTTCAAACGCTAAAATGATAATAGTAGAGATCTATTATTCAGTTTGAATAACATAGATCTATGGTTTGAATCAACGTTTCAATCCTTCTATTAATTCCCTATGCATTGTTGAATAAACATTACATATAGGTACTAAACAGACTGAGAAAATCAATCATTAACTCATACCTTATTATGATCCATGACGGTGATATGGTGGAGATAGCTATTGCTGTATCAAATCTTATCAAATAGTTGAAGTAGTTTTCTTGGGCCTAGAAAAATCAGATATATGATATTACTTGCAATATATGGTCTAGAATATGGACTATATAATATGAGAGACTGGGGTATGAGCATTAAAAGAGTTGAATCTTCATATAAATGATATGGTTCAAGCACCTGGTATGCATGAATGGTCACTTTAGATTCCTCAAACATAGCATATAATACCAAATGCCACGACACATCTTTTTGTTATCTTGAACAATTTGAAATAACGTTGATGCAAAATTGTGAAGGAAATCCATTAGCAAATTCTGAACTACGAAAATGATAAATGATGCATTTTCCACTTTATAAAGTACCTATATTCCTACCTACCACATATCACATACCACCAATATCACATAATCGGTAATTATTGTACTTATTACTTATTATTATGATATTTCTTCTACTTACCACTTTTATTCCAAAATTTGAAATAACTCCAAAGACTACTAAATAAAACAAAAAACAAACATCAACTGAACGCATGACCACAAAAACCGCGGCACACCTAGGTTTGAGGTTATGAATAGTTATGTCATGTCATGTCTCATGTCAGGAACTTGCACGGAACTATTTCGTAATCATTTTCATAGAAGTTTCGTTACTGTTCCTGAATAGTAATATGAATTATTCTGTTTGTGTTCCGTTATCGAAAAAGAAAATTTACGACGAATATTATGTGTTAAGCACCTATCAGCTACATCACTATTATTTTCTGCTGAATGTATCTGCGACTTTCTCAATAACGTCATTGTTATCTCACTATCATGTAACGACAACAGCTTAAGGATGTAAATGAGATGTGATGAGAATTAAATCACCTAAACGCTCTTAAGATGTTATAAAATTCGTTTGTTACGAAATGAGGTTGCGAAGTCATTTCGGACTGTACCAGTGTTGACACAAAAATTAACGTCGCAATATCACGTATTCAAAACGTACAAAGGATATATTCTCAAAAACGTTATCATGGGTACAAGGTTTCAACGTTAACAAACCTCCCGGGGATGTTTCTTGCTCAGTGGGGCCCTCCTGCAAAAATGAAACACATTTTATAATTCTTTGGTTATCGAGATTGTATCACGTAGCACGTATCGTGTATAGTTGCAATGGCAACCAAAATAATTTCCAGTAATAGAGGAAAACCAGTGTTAGTATTTGATAATTTCAAATTAAGTTTTACTGAAGACAAAGTCAACGAGCGCGAAGTTTTGGAAGTGTACTAATTGGCAGTAGAAAGCAACGGTGCATACCCTCGGGTCATCAAACGAGATCGTAATAACTAAACATCCGGGAGAGCACAACCATGAGGCAAATTTGGCAAGCCAAACAAAATAAGTGCTGCTTGCAAAAAGAAAGCTACAGAAGACCTTGCGGAAAAACCTATGAAGATCATACGCCTGGAGTTACGAAGAGACCTTCCGAGTAACATAACGACAAGGGATGTCCAATACATAAAACACAATATGTAAAATAGCTGCCGACGAACACTACCAATTTTGCCGAAGAACATGAACGAGGTACATATAGCTTTATCTAGTTTGAATGTAGTTACGTCGCGAAATGAGAATTTCGTACTAATTAATAACGAAAGAGATAACATCATTTTTTTTTCTTGTTATACAAACATCAACATTGTTAAAGACGTGTCACGTATTTTTTCTGCAAATTTTCCACTGTACACGGTTTTGTGAATGGCAGATACATACCGCTTATTTATTGATTCCCTTTCGTGCGCTCCAAGCGTAAAAAAAAGTAAGAGCGCGGAAATATACACAAAACTATTTCAACTAGTCATAGGCGCGTGTTTGTCAAAATGAATTGATTCAAATATTATAGAGGTAGTAGTATATTTTG